GAGAGAGAGAGAGAGAGAGAGAGACCAGCAGACTATCACATCAATTACGACAGCAGCCGATCTCTCCTTCTCTCTACCTGTCCACTGTGTGACCCGGCCTCGAGCCAACTTTTCCCCCTCTACCTGCGTCCGATCTGACCCTCGCCGCTCAAGCTCAGCGTTTGGAGTGACCAGTGTCCACCTCTGTTCACGTCACTCTCCGCCATGATTCGAGGGCCTGTCCCTCTCAGCCCGGGTTACCCTGCCCCTTTGTGGTTTTTGCGGTCACAGCGTTTGCCAATAATAAAAGCCCCCACTCTCAGGATCATTCCAGGCGTCGCCAGTAATTAATTGGGGGTAAATATGGCTGACTGTCTCCCACTTCTCTCTCTGTCTCCCCCTTTCTGTCTCTTTCTCCTTCTCTCTCTCTCTCTCTCTCTGTCGCTCTATCTCACTCTCTCCCTCTCTTTCACACACTCACTCTATCTCTCCCTCACACACGCACACACGCACACTCACACACATGCCCACACTCACACACACACACACACACACACACACACACACACACACACACACACACACACACACACACACACACACACACACACACACACACAAAACATAAACACTGACGCTCTGAGATAGACGTCCCGAACTCGACACGACAGTAGTGTTGACTGACCGACCTCGCCGCCATATTTATTGCCCCTCTTTCGACGTAATCAAAGTTTGCGTACTCTGGGCTGCACGTCATCTTACGACGTCCGCCATGTGAACACCGTCTGACCAGGAAGTGCGTCCTTCACAAGGACCTTATACTGTAACCTCCTTGGTCCTACGACGGTCCTCCTCTAGACGCTCAGAGAACGTAGTATATTATTATAAGAACGTATAGTTCCTCCTCGATTGCCCGTATGGAAGGGGGAAGTATAATTTTATTATTTAGCTTCCAAGGCGTTGCTTCCATCCAGGTCTCTGTAATATGTCGTTCATTTCTCTATGGTATCCCTGCCCGCTCCCCCGCCCCCTCCCACTATTCTCAAACTCCCCCTCCCTGTCTCTGCCTCTGTCTGTCTGTCTGTCTGTCTGTCTGTCT